AGTCCTTAGAAGAACCCTGCCTTGCAGATGTGGCCGCCTCACACATCTGCTATGCAATGCAGCCAGCCTGGAAAACCCAGACTCCTCCGCTTGACACTGAGCACACTTCATGAGAGATCCCAGGAGAGGCATTTGAACTGCTACAGCCGCTGCAGGCTTGCTCACTCGCTGGCACCCAGTAAGCAGGCTCAGCACACTATAGGGACAAAGAAGTGGGGAGAAAAAGAATTTTTGAAAAACAGAATGATCATCAGATGGGAAAAATCAGAATTTTATGGGATTTGTGCTTCTCTATGTCACCGTGATATTTTTATTTGGAATTTTACAAGAGAGGGATCCACCATTGTCTTTTCAGTGCTGGAGTCTTCAGTAGCCCTCACTGTCCCTGGACAGAGGACAGGGCTTAACAGAGCAGGTGACTTCTCACCCACTGTATGTGCTGCCTCCTCCCTTTGTCCCAGTCTAGGGAATTTTGAAATTGCCCTGTAGCCAGACCCCTTGTGTTTGCTGCCCAGGAGAACTGGAGAGGAAGGTGCCATGTGGAAAGAATTGTTGCTTTTAATCTTAGCTCTGTCCCCCGGAGCCTGATAGCACCCTTCTCTCTCCAGTGGGTGATTGGACAGAATAAACTCTCCTCTGAGAGTCTGAGCCAGGAGGTGGTGCTGATGTAGAGGAGGGCAGGGGTAGAACATGGGGCTGTGGTTTGGAGGAGTGGGAGGAGTGTGGGAGGGACTCAGATGTGCAGCTGGGAAACTTGGATCCTGCTGTGAAGACTTTGTGGTTCATTCTCAAGAAGCTAGCTCCATTCCTCTTGTTGGATTTCTGCCCTGGGGTGGGTGGGGGAGTGTCCCAGAGCAAACACTGGCTTCTCCTTCTTGGTGATAAAGGCTTAAATTCTAGTATCCCAAGTGAACATGTAAGAAAAAATCCTCAATCTAGCCCCTTCGTGACACCTCCTCTCCTTGGCTTCTGAAAAGACTCCAACTGACTGCATTGGGCTTACTTGCTAACAGCACCTGGCTTTCCAGGAGACTCAGAGACAAAATGTTTTCCTGTTTAAGACAGAATTGGGGAAAAGACATCAGTGTTGGAGTTAGAAGTCTGGCTGTCCTGTAGATTAGCTGGGTTGGGCCAGTGATGCCTCTGGAGACTCAGTTTCCCTATCTGACAATACCAGCCTACTTTGCCAGGCATTATGAAGATTGAACAAATGAAGTATGAAGTGCCGGGCATGGTGGGGGCTGGTACATGGTAGACATATGCCAGAGTTTATCCTGGGGCCTGCTGACCAATGAACAAACCTTAAGGAGATCAAGACAGGATGATCTGGTGCTGGCATTCCACTTGCTAGCTGGATATCTGGATATCTAGAAGAAAGGCAAGTCCTTGCCAAGGCAGAGAGAGGGGCTTCCTGCTTTTCCAGGGAAACTTGCCTGGTACAGCCTTGGAGGGGACTGAGGGAAGGGGCTAAAAGCCACCTCCTTTTCCAGTGGGTTCTTGCAACCACGGAGGCGGGGCACAGATGGATAGGTTCCTCCAGAGCTTGCTGCTAGGGGCTTGAGAATATGGGGGTGGGACACATTTTTACAAAGAAAGTGTCTGCTCTTGGAAGTCTGAAGCCCATTGAACCTATACTTGGAACTAGAACTTGAGTATAAGTAAATACTAAGTCTCCAACATGCCTGGCTAGACCCTTGCATATCTGGGCAAGTCCAGCTGACCACTTGCTCCCGGCAGGGTAGGGGTAGAGGGTGAACCCTTCCCAGTCCTAAGACATCTGCACATGCTTACATTCCTCCACTGTCTGGTGACAGCAAGCACCCATCTTTGCTCAGGTCTGAGTGCATGTTCTATGTGAATATTGGCCATATTGCTGAAGGTTAAAACATCTGGCAAAAGAACACATTTTGATACTGAGTGTTTCCTATAGAGGTAGCTTTTACTTTAGCTTTGACTGGAAAGGGACAGGGTCCTGGACCCTGACTTTTGACTGTAAGGGGTGTAGGCTTGGGGCAAGGGGCACCTCTGAGAATGAGAGTGGCCAGAGAGGGGGAGGAGGCTGCTGCCAACCTGTCTTGGCAGTCTCCCTTTCATCCTCTTGGTAGATTTTATTGTAATTAAACAAGTTGTGACAAATATCCCATTGCTCTTTGGGCCAGAGAATTGTGAGGAGTTCTGCCTGGAAACCCAGCCTCACTCACTTGGGAGCCATAATTAGGCAAGAGAACAGTTCACGGGCCCTTGATTCAATAAAGACCCTTTTATGATGTTGGTTTTTCCCAGAAAAATAATACCACTTTGCTCCGTCTATTGCATTTAGATGTGTAATCATATTAGAGCTGAGCAGCCCAGGGGACTGGAGTTACGTACTTGGGGTTTTCACTAAAGCCTGTTACCCGGTCTTCAGAGAAAATCTGTGTCTTCAGGAAAAAAAGAAAAAAAAAATGACAAGGAGCATTGTTGAAGATTTTCTGTCTTGGCATTTAAAGGATGCTTTCTCCCTTCAGGGTGAGAAGTGACCCACAGAGAAAAACCTGAAAGTGAAGCGTGACTGGCCCATGGCAGTGCCAGCTTCTGGGGTTCCGTGCAGTCCTCTGTCTCCCAGCCGAGCGGTACAGACTTAGCACGGTCCCTCCCGTCTGGGCTTTGCTGTATTTGTCGGATTGCAGTGTGTCCTGCAGAGAGCTCACCTGTGTCCGCTCTGTCTGGAGTCACAGAACCTAGGGGCCTGCACCTGGACAGCCAGGCTGCAGGCAGTGGTATTTACAGGTGGCCATCCTCTGCCTCCTCATTCCCACCCTGTGCAGGGCGGTCACCTTGATTACACACAGCCCTTCAGTGCACCAGCAGCTTTAGGTTATTGGGAGTGTGTGCCAGGTTCCTGTGGACAAGTGACAGGACGTTTCTTCCTGGCATTTGGTATTTGAAAGGGTGCCATGCCGGGGGTGCTGTCCTGTCCAGAACCTGCACATACTGCTGTGCCTTCTTGTCATCTTGCCCCAAGACCTGTCCTCCAGGCAGGCTAATAGCATTTCCTAACCGTGGAGTAAAATTGCTCCCAGAGTCTGCCCAGTGCTGGGGCGAGGTAGAAATCATCAGTGGAGTCAAGAACCTCTTTCCCAATTCAGGGTTTAGCAATGTCAGATAATGAGGAAATTTCTGGTAGTCATTCGTAGACGTGTTCAGTGAAGAAACAGAGGGTGTGAACTTTTGGAATGCTAAGGCTATGTTCCATTGATAAGGGGGAAATTCACTTAATTTCAGAACACCTAATGGGAAGTATCAATGAAATAGTTTTTTCAGATGCCCTTTGCTGCAGAAAAACCATGTTTTATAGGGGACAGTTCATCTGTGTATAGATAATATGTTAAAGCATTCTTGCGGTATTACTACTGTAAAGCTTTCTGGATATTTTACACTTGCTGGAAGAAGTGCAGTTATACTCTATGTATATTTTTACTTCCCTGTACCAAGGAGTATAATTAGAACATCTGAAACCAGATTATCCAATTAGTACATTTTTTCCCTAATTAGCTGTTAGGAATTTGTGATGAGATAAATTATTTTAGATTTCCAAATGGAACTCTGGCCACAGGGAGACTCTGAAGAAGTACACAAGGGAGAAAAATAATGGATTTGTAAAGTTTTGGCTCTCTCCCACTCACCTGCTCGCTGAGAAACCTGCCCATTGGGCAGCCACAGTGATCAGGAAACGGCTTATTGTCCTTGTCCTGAGTAAAAAGAGTTGGAAAAAACTATTCACTTAATGCTGGCTTCTCTCTGCTCCTGATAATGAAGTGGGCAGACAGTAGTTGGCATTTAAAACTACTTTTTTCATTTTTCGGCAGTAATGTCAGTGACCCTTCTTTGGAGGAGAAAAAAGATCTGGCAGTGTAAATTCATTCAGTGTGTATTTACCCTAGGCCTGTGTGTGTTTTCTTGTGTCCAGTGGCAGCGAGGGCTGTCTGGCTGGGACCAGGGTGATGTCCAGACAGGAGCATGAAGCTGAGACCCAGAGCTTGTCCTTCGTAATTGTTGCCGATGAAGGCCCACAGCCCTGTAGCCCAAATTCTGAACTTTGAAAAGCGGGAATTGTTTCTGTAACTAAATTAGTGGAAAAACCTGACCCAAACTGACCTGAGACTATTATAGTCTATATTTATCCTGGGGAGTGTGAATATTCATGGTTTTCACTGCAGATATTAATGTGTTTGATTATGGCTGCTTCCCTGCTGGGGCACTGCATTCCCTTGCTAAAACCTGGAGAAATCTGAAGCACATCTGGCCTGAAGTTCTGGAGTAAGAGATCGTGGCCATAGCAGCATTCATTTCATTAAGGTGACAAGAGCTGTGTGCCTAGAGATCATAGAGTCCAGCTTCTCAGAGCCAGTTTTCCCTCAGCCACAAGAGGAGCCCACGGGCTGTGAGAGTCCAGCCGGCAAGTGGGTGAGTTACCAAGACAGTTCTACCTGAGCCAGGGCAGGTTACAAGGCTGCCCCCTAGACCCCCAAGGTGCCTCCTTCCCCAGCCCTTAGAAGTACAACAGGTTTCACTCCCTCTCCTATCCTGGGTTCAGCTCAGTGCCTGGTGAAATATCAACCAGATCAAGGGGCAGCCTACTTTTTCTGTGTAGGTGCAAATAGTAAATATTTTACACTGTGAAGGCCACGATGTCTCTCTTGCAACTAGAGATGGTCTCTGACTTACGATGGTTCAACTTACACTTTTTCAGCTTTACAAAATGTGTGGAAACAGTAACACATTTCCAAGGAACCATATGTAGAGTGCTGCTCCTCTCCTAGGCCCGCAGCATGCGGTATGACTCTCTCACAGTGCTGGCAGCATCAGTGAGCTGCAGCTATCCAGTCAGCCCTGTGAGCAGGAGGGGAAACAACTGCTACACTGCGGTGCTGAGCTGCACTTTTGGGAGGTGGACATAGTTAAACATTTTTAACTTATGATGAGCCTTTCAGGACATATCCCCACTATAAGTTGAGGAAAATCGGTTTTTCTGTTATTGTATCCTGAAAGCAGCCATTGACAATACATCAGAGAACAAGTGTACCTATGTTCGAATAAAACTTTATGGAAATGGGTGGCTCATTGGCCAGCTTGCCTGCTCCTTGTCTAAGGGATAAGTGCATCCTTGAATGTGGACTCTCCTTCCCTATGCTGCAGAGCTGCTGCCTGCCTGCCTGCTGTCCTTGTTTCCTGACTCAGTGGTGTCCGGCCTTAAGGAGATAAGGTGGTACCTCCTCTGTCAGGGGTGCACTTGCCTGGCTCCTTTGCATGGTCTGGGAGCATGGATGAAAGGAAGGTGCTGCCCCCTAGAACAGGAGTGTGCGTGGGTGTGGACAGATGCACCTAGGCCCAGGTCCAGCCTTGCAGAGGTGCACATGGGCCCCCATCTGCTGATGAGCTTGGGGGCCGAGCCAAGCCCCATGTCTTCCTGGCTACCAGCTTTGAGCCAGGCAAGGCTCCTGCCAGGGAAGCCCATTCTGCAGAGAGTTGGGGGTTGGGGGAGACCAGAGAGGCTGACAGCAAGTGTTCTTACCAAAAGAATTTCTGGCAGCGGGAGATTGGTTATCGTAAATGCAGCGGCTCTGATGGATGAGTTTCAGGTCTCCTGGCTTTGTTCATTCCAGCCCAGAATGTTCAGCAAGGATGGGCCAGGCCAGAGAGGCCAGAAAGTTTTCACCACAGCGAGGCTGAAATCCAGCCAAGCCCTCTGACCCCCACTTCCACAGTGGTATGTCTGACCCGGAGCAGGCTGGCCAGGGTGGAAGAGGATGGGATGCTGCAGATGTTTGGCCCCTTGACTTGTGAGCCTGGGTAGACGCTCCTCTTGTCCAGCTCTTGCCTCAGCAGCTTCTGTCTGTAGAAGGGGTTTTCCCTTAGACATTTTGGGACTGGTGCTTTTTGCCAGGACCACCTTCTTCTCCAGCCAGGGTGGGGCTGATGCATAGTTTTTTTCCTAGAGCAAATTCCAAACAAGGGCTGATACCTCATTGGCTTTTTTTTTTTTTTCTTTTTTCTTTCTGTCATAGTTCTAGGGGTTGCTGACCATTTTAGGGACTTCAAGTTCAAGTGGGGCCTCTTCAGCACCCCCTGGTAAGCCCGGCTGGCTTTTCAGCCCCCTAAAGAAGAAGCATACCCCAGTCACTGTGTGCCCAGCATAGGACAGGTAGAGTGCGGACAGACTAGTGCCCTCTCTTATGTGGCACTGCAGGGGCAAGGAAATGCCAGACAGCAGGCTGGCTCTTGGTGGATGCCTGTAAGAGCTCGGGGGACATGGCTTCTCAGCAAGCAAAGCACCCAGATGATTCACATCCTAGTGTGTAGGGACCTTGTGGGCTGTTTTGCTGGTGGAATGCATGGCTAGGATCCTGGTTAAAGCGAAGGTTCCTGGTGAGGTGACAGGCTCTATAGGGCAGGCTGTGAGTGCAAAGCCTCAGCCGGACAGCAGGGAACCAGGTGCTCCCCAGTCTGAGGAGGAAGGGGCTGGTGAGGCACACTCCAACTCCAACTCCAAGCCCTCCTCAGAGGTCCACGGTCCAGCCCTGCCCTTGGCAGTGAGAAAGACACTCTGTTGGGAACCACCACACACTTTGCACATGCTCTTTCCTTCCGTGCTCACACTGCCCTACAAAGTCCAGCGCATTATTCCTCTTTATAGACGTGAAAGCTGTGGCCTGGAAGCAAAGCAGTTTACTGGATTGCACAATGAGTGAGCTCAGCAGTGCCCCAGGCCTGGCTGTTGTCCATGGGGATGTGCTTTTCACCACCTCAGGCCCCGCGTGTTCCAAGAGGCCGAGTGTCCTGTGCAGGACGCAGGACCCCTGACCAGGCCCCCATGGAATGGGTGCAGTGCCTTGCTGGGCAAGGCAGGTCCCTGGTGCCTTGCTGGAGCCCTAAGCGTAGTGATGTGGCTTTAGCAGACAAGTCTGTGAAAGGCTGGGATCTGTGGAGAGTGGCTGGCTGGGGCCTCTGTCTGTGCCCTGGTGCTGCTGAGAGTTGACCCTCTGCTATTCTGGAGGCTCTCCCAGGCCTGGGGCAGGAGTGTATCCTGTTAAGGAGGGCCCTAAACAAAGCCTTGATTCTGGAAGCTTTAAAAAAATTTTATCTTCCCCAAAGAAAAATAATTGGTCACTGCCCACTTCCCTTTCTTCTTGGTGGCTTTTTGGCCATTGCCATCCTCATTTCTTTGAGCCTGTACTTCCAGCAAAGCCTGTCAACTTGTTGATTTGAGCCTGAACACTATCTGGTACATTCCAGAAATCTTCAAACTTCTACTGTGGGCTGCTTCGGTAGAAAAGCTTGGGCTGGAGTTGATTTCCTACTCAGAACACCCAAAGAAGCTTTAGCCTCTCCATGGAAGGTGGGGTGGGGTACAGTAGAGAACCAGTGGGGCTGTCCTGGGGTCCAACTAGAAGCAGCAGCCTCCTGGGCTGGGCTGTATCTCATGAGTTGGAGCCACCTTCCTGCCCCCAGGTGACCATAGTCTTCAGGAACAGTCCCTTTCAGTTCTGTGACAAGGCTGAAGTTCTTTCTTCTTGTCTGTTTTTTCTTGAGAGAGAGAGGTTGGTGGGAATTTCGCTCCTCCAAGGACCTGCTTATGGAGTAACCCAAGCTGTTACTGCTGGCAAAAATTGATACCAAAGTTGGGTGCCTGTTCTCTGGGAACTTCACACCTGTATATTGTTCTGCCAGAGGGGCTGGGGACATCAGAGGTAATGCCCAGGCTGGCCTTCTCTGTCCTCCTGAAGCCTGCCTGGCCCCTTTTGTCCTCATGCCACATCAGGCCTGAGACCCTCGTTTGGCCTCCATGGCCCACCTGTGAAGGCCTGGGCCACATCGTGATGACCTTTCTCCCTGTTCTCACCACATCCTCTGGTTCTAGTCGGTGGCTTCCTGTGGGCAGAAGGCACTGGGCTCTGAGTGGGCTCTGCATGGAACAAAAGCTGATTATTCTTGGGTATGCTAAGAATTGTGCTGCTATGGGGACCCTGCAGCCAGGCCACCATCACAGAGCTTCCTGGGGGTGGGGTGGGCCAGTGTCGGGTAAGGGGACACCGTCTCTACCTGGGCGCATCTGAGCCAGTGGATGACTACCACCTCACCTGGAGATTGTCCAAGGACAGCAAGAAAAATGAGGGACTTTCAGGGGCAGCTGTGTTTTCTGACTCAGTCATAATGCCCCTAAAAATCCTTATTGTTCTTGCAATGTGCATCGGGCAGCTGCAGTAGCCACCCACCTACCCCTAGCCACCCACCTACCCCTAGCCCCCGCTGGGACAAAAGGGGCTTCCTGGGGTCAAGTGGGGAAGTACCCCCCAAAATGGGACTGAAAGGAGACTTGCTAATTAATCACTGAAACAGCTGGTTGCTGGCATGGTGATTTGTTTCATATGTTTTTTCAGCTTCTTGTGGAGGACGTGGTGGGCTGTGAAGCTGGGAGGGCTGGGCATCAGGGTGACCCTGTGCAGGGTGGAGCTCAGGAGTGCATGGAGGCCTCTCTGTTTCTTGTACAGTAAAGAGGCTGGTAAAAGCCCAGCTGCCTAGGCAGTGCCCAGGAAGGTCATGCTTAGGCCAGGCACGTTAAGGCAACTGTGGTGGGCTGGACGGGATGCCCTCCCCCTTTCCTGAGAAGTCAGGGCAGGACGGGAGAAGGCACCTGGCAGGAACTTGCATTGTTTTTTTAAAATAGAAGGGGCCTCCAAGTCTACTCTTTGAGACCCAGTGACCTGGCTGTCTTAAAAACAGGGTGGTGGTGGTTCAGGGTCTTTCCCCTCTCTGTGTGAGCCTGGAGCTTGCTTTTTCTTGGCAGGATGTTCTCTATTTTTTTTACTTCATGGGCTCCTTCCATTCTCAACAGGTTCAGCCACCTTTTCCAGCCCCACCCCACAGATATTTTGACTGAGCCAATGCCTTATCTTGGGAGGGCTTCTCTGGGCCTATCAAGAAGTAGAAATGATCTTTTAAGATGGGAACCCCTTTGTGAGATGCCCCTCTTAACCACCACCGGGCCACAAAGATGTCACTAAATCTCAGAGCAACAGAATCATGTGGCTTTCCCACACGTGGACAGACAGGTATACAGAGCAGCAAGCAACATTGGATCTGCTCTGTGGGTCCATCCTGTGCCTGCAGGGGAAATTCTTCCTGCGAACAATTCTGAGCACTCCCTTCCTGCAGCTCTGAAAGCTCCTGATCACCCCAGCTGGGTGGGCTTCTGTAGGACCTTGACCTTAACACCTTCCTGCCAGCCTAGCTCTAGCTCCAGGCCCTGTCCTGCTAATTCTGTGCGAAACACCAAATCTGCCAGGGGCTGGGTTTGCTTAGGATCCTCAGTTGCCTCCTCTTGAGAAGGTCCTTGTCTAAGGTGAAGTTTAAACATGGATGGTATTTAGCTCCCCTTGGTAAAATGGGTGAAGCTCTCAGGAAACAAGAATCTCACACCTCCAGCTGGCAAGGGGAGTAGAACCACCCCTTGCACCCTGAGCAACTTTGCTAGCCTTGCCAACTTCACATTGGCCATCCTCTCCTCCTAGGCCCCTCTGCCCTGCCCTTCCAGCCCCCTCCATAGTTTCTCATTCCTGCATGTGTTCCTCATTCTTATCCGAAAACATTTGCATACATTAGAAGTAAAACCAATTGCTGTTTTTTCCCCCATTACAAAAGAATTATCTTCAGTGAAAAATTGAATTGCTTTCAAATGCTGTTCATCAAAAGGATGAAAAAGGTATATAAGTGCACATACCTAGAGCTAATGTCTGCTAATGAAGTATGTCTGTTCTGCACGCATCCCCCACCTAGGTAGCAGATGGGCACTTTTATAAGAGACAGGACCCTAATGTACATAAACAATGGGTCTGTGCTCTCAGGAAACTGGTTTCTTGTTACCAGTTTGAGGATGCTGTGCCCTCGGCCAGCCTCTAGCCAGGAAGATCTTGCTGGAGGGAGTTTGAGCAGCACTGGGTCTCTCTGAACCAGGACTGATGGAAGTGTCAGTGAGGACTCAAGAAGTGCAGGTCATGTCCTGACAGCTGGCCAGGTGAGCTTCTAAGGTGCTTCTTGATCCCCATTGCACAACAGAATCACCCGGGAAGTGTTTAAAAAAAAAAAAAAAAAAAGCCAGGGCCTAGGCCCTACCCAAGTCCAGCTGGGTCTGAATTGCCAGGGTAGGGGTGGTGAGAGGACCCCCAGGGTGGGTACCTTGGTTTATCTTGGGTTTTGTTTATGTTGTCATCTTCAGGTGATTCTGTGAAGCATCCAGGGGAGAACCTTTGGGCTGCCTGGCTGCAGGTAGTGATGGAAGATTCCCTTCAGCTCTGCCTGCGAAGCCCCACTGAGGATGTGACCATTTAGAGTTGGCAGGATTTCACTTCCGTTATTTGTGTGCTGCCCAGTCATCTTTGATGCTACTTTCACACTGAACAGGCTAAGGGAGACCGGGGTGGGAGGTATTTGCAGACAGAGCTGGGATATGGCAAAGCTAGGATTCAAATCTGCAGCTCTGATCCCCAAGATCACTGATGCTTCAATGGTAATAGTCATGTTCATAATTAGCACTCGTAAGAAACCTATTACAGGGCTTAATAATAAGCAGCACTTGGTCATCCCAGCCCTGAGGTGTATGGGTGGAGGCTCCCGCCTCTGGAGGAGCTGTCTATCTCCCCATTTTAAGTAACCCCCATCAGCCTGGATCCACAGCTGCCCACTTGGCCTGTAATGCTGCTACCAAGATCTACCCCATTTTACAGATGAGGAGTGCGCTCAACACTCAAGAGGCTGGGCCTGGATCACCTGGCTGCTAGGTAGCAGTGGCAAGATGTCGTTCTGCCACTGTCCTGCTCAGAGGTGGCTGAGAAGGAGCACAGCTCTGCGTGGGGCTTGCTTGTCGGTGTCCTAGGGGTCAGAAGCCCTGCTGGGGAGTGCTGGGTCCACCAGATTCTCTCCCTCCTTCCTCCCAAAAAGCTTGCCCTAGGGGCTGGCTGGGCTTGCTGCCAGTGCAGGGAGCTGAAGGCACATTTTCAGCTCCAGAGAGTGCAGGGCCAGGCCTGGACGTGGCAGCTGGGGGCAGATGGGAGCCAAGAGTGAGAGCACCCCTTCCCGGCAGGCCTGGGGCTCTGGGCCAGGCTTCCTTTTGAAGGAAGGGTCTTAAGTCCTTGGTTACTCCTTCCTCACTTGGTGGGTCCACTTCCTCCCCAAGCTGGCTGTCACTCTTTTCTCCACCCAGCCCATTGCAGTGGAGTACACACTCTTGGAAATGACATCTTTGAAGCCTGCTGTCTAGAAAGCAGGATGGTTGTGCAGGCAGATGCAGCCAGCATTTATTTCAGTGGGAAATGGGGCATGAGGTGTGTTCAACCCTTTCTTACCTGTACTCCCTGGGGACTCACTTTGGAAGACAACTGTGAGCTGCTGTGGCTTACCTGAGTCAGAAGACCCCAGCTCTCTGGGCATGGTGGCACACACCTGTAATCCCACGGTTTGGCTGAGGTAGGAGGATCAGAAGTTGGAGCCCGGACTGGGTGACGTAGCCAGACCTAAAAGAGGGGTGGGATGGAAATGCTACAGATGCTGCTCGGTGTGAAAGTCCTGGGTTCAATTCCCACTACTGGGGGAAAAAAATGAATGAGTGAAAGAAAACAGACTACAGTTTAGAGCATCCTAGCTGCTAGACACAGCTTAGATAAGAGCCTTGAGCACAGGGGTTGGGTGGTACAAGCTCTAGGTATGGAGTCTGGTCAAATGCAGTTACTTAGCTGAGGACCTTGGGACAGCCCTGCCTGTTTGCTGAGCCACAGTGTTCCCTATAGGAATGTGTGCTTTCTAGCTCATTCTGCATATGAAGCTGTTGCTCCCTTTCCCTTCCCTTCCAGGAGTGTACTTTTGCACAGAAGGCTGCTGCTGGGCCTGGGAAGATAATCATTGAATGGCAGTATTGACACACTGCCCAGGAGGTCAAGTCTGGCTCCCGACGTGGCGATAGTGCCTTCTGCCCTTGGTTCTACAAGGATAACTTTTCCTGATAGTCTTTTCTGGCCTCCCATCTGGCCGACTCCTGTTGCGATGGTGGTTCTGGATTGAAGAGCCTGCAATCCTTGCCTCTTGCCAGGATTTCCCTGTGGTCCAGGCTGCTAAAGCCCAGGGCCAAGGGGTAGTTTTTCTGTAAGTCCAGACTGGGTAGTTCAAAGGCTTCTGCCAGGCCTGGGCACAGTTACTCCTGCAGAGTGCCTCCCTCCCCTGCCAGCTGCCGTGGGGTGGCAGGAAGGGCTTTCTACTTGGCTCAACCAATGGGGAAGCAATTAGCACTCGCTTTATTTTGACTCTCATATATAACAGCAGAGCCTGTGACATCACAGAAAAGCAGCCTTGGGCTTGAGTGAGGTGGGATCCATCCCTGGTGACATCGTTCTTGCAAAGTCGGTGTGGGAAATGTGACGGCCCATTTTCCTGATGATACCTCTTTCCCCTGCCCTGGATCCCTGGGGTTCAGGTGGGGCCAACTCCACCCACTGGCTTTAGAAGCAGACATCTGATCCCAGCCTGCTCCTGCAACTCCCCCAGGGACTTCTGCAACAACTGTGGGGAAAGAGCTTTCTCTTTCTGTGGGAGTTGCTAAGCCCACAGGATATAAGCCTGGAGCTGCTGATGGCCAATCTGTTGTCCATTTGAGGATGAAGCCAGCAAAGAGGAAGGAGAACCAAGATGGATAAGAGTGCGCTGTCCAGATTGCAGCCTTGGTCCTCACTGTTAGATTTCCCTTGCCTTAAGATGGAAATAGCAGCCTCCATGTTAAAATATGGCTTCTCCCTCCAATAAAAGAAGCTCCCTGTTCTGCCATGTTGCTTTTCTCTCCTTTGTTTGGAGACAGGCCTGTAGATCCTCCCCACAATAAAGGCTTATTATGGCCCTGGTCCTGGTTTTTGGCTCTTTTTACCTAACACTCACCTCTCTAGACCAGTGTTAGAATGCATTTGGGTTTCCCCCAGGGATTCCGAAGTTCAAAAGATAAAAGTCTAAACAGGCCGCATTCATGAAGCCAGAATCTGTTTCCCCAGCATATTCAAGATGTATCCAGTACTGCTCATCAGAACTCACTGTGAGCCAGAAGAAAGACTTGGGGTTGAGACATTCCAGCAAAAAACAAACTTTGTTGTTGTTGTTGTTGTTGTTGTTGTTGTTGTTGCGGGGACCGGCACATAACTGACTCTTCCCAGAAGTCTGGAGGATGTTAGGTTGGCTCTCCTGCTCAGTCCCCTTGCACAGTTGCTCCAGCCGGATCTCCAGCATGGTCTTCCTGCCTCCTTGGAGGTCATGGAGTGTGTTTCCTTGATATCCAGTCTGAATGCATTGCATCAACTCCCTGGGGACTCTGAGCCATCTTTGTGTCCAGCTATGCTAAGCTGGAGGTGCCTGTGCACCTTCTGGTTTTGTGAACCAATATCTTCTTTGTTTGAGCCAGAGAAACGTCGTACCCCAGCTTTGCTGTGAATTCACCCTTCAGTACCCCTAAGTACCTCCAGGCAAAATCAGCTGGTGACCAGCCAGCCTGCTTTCCCTCCTGGGGCCAGATGCTATATGCTTTATGTGTATTTTTTCCAATGCTCTCAGCAACCCTAAAGATAATGCATTCCCAATTTACTGTGAGGGAAACTGAGGCACAGAAGCGTCACAGAGCTGGGATGCCGGTGTGTCACATGCTTATATCTGGTGTGCCTTCTTGGAGCATTTCAGCTCCCCCTGTCCACCAGACTCTTAGCTACTTCCTGTGCTCTGGCAGAGGATTCCAAGGGGTCCCACAGTCCCACACCCCCAAGCTGACCTGCTGCTTTTTCAGAGTCTGAGCCCTTACTAACCATTAGTGCAGAGTATGGGATTGGCTCTCAAATGACTGCCAAAGAAGCTGGAGAAAGCAACCAGCTGCGTGGGGGACTCCATCCTCTGGGATGAATTCTGAGCAATGGGAGCTGCAAAGGTAAATTCCTGTCCCTCTTCCCTAGGTGTGGTTCTGTGTCACCTTGCAGAGCTTCCCGTCCTTCACCTCCTCACCTCTCCACTCTTGCCCCAGGCTGTCTTTAGCCAATCCGTCTCCAGGTCTGCACTGTAACGCTTTAGCAGTAATCACTGGACTAGAGGATAGAAGTGTGGGGATGCAAATAAATGAATGACTCTGAGTCACATGCTACTGAAATAGGGATGGGGAAGTAAAGGGGAGACAAAGATGCTGCCAAGTTCATCAGCCAGTATTTCCTTCTAACTTCTGTCTGGTACGGTGGAATCAATACTCCCTAGTGCTGCACACACGAAGTATGTGACACTGGCAAGGTGGCCTCTGTGAGCTGGTTTCCCCCACTGTATACTGGGGATAAAGATGGTCTCACCACACAGGCATACTGGGAGGTTTAACTTAGTTTTGAGCACAGCTGATGGACGAAGGGGGTGGTGCTGAGGCTGCGTGCCCCTCATCACCTTTTCCAAAGACAGCTTGTCCTCTCAGAAGCCATGCTTCTCATCTTAGTCCCCACTGGGCAGCTGGCGCTGTTCCCCATCCCATCCTCAGGTCTGCCGTCTGACCCAGGCCAACACCACACCCTGTGCTCTGATGGCAAGAATTGCCAACAACCTGGGCATAGGACCTAAGTCCAGCCAGCTGTTGGAACAGAACCCTGATTCTCTGGAATAATCAGGATGGAGGTGCTTGCTCCTTGCTGCGATCATGAGCTTGGAGCTACCATGGGCCATTTTTACTACTTGGCCACTGAGAATGAAGTCGGAACAAAGTCTAGCCGAGGGGAGATGGAGCCTCGGTGACATCTTTGTACTGCAGTTCCTGGATCCAGCTACGCCAGAACCCATTAGCCTCTCATATTTAGGAATGAATACATCCCCCAACAGTTCCCTTTTTATTAGCTTACGCCAGTTCAAGTTGAGCTCCTGTTATCTAAAATTGAAGTGGTCCTAAGACAGTTGAGTCTTTACAAATGATAGCTGCTATTCTTGTGATTAATTGTAGACACATTACGGGTAGATGTATCCCGAGGCCACTCTGCTCCTCTGTGAGGCCCTGGATGAAGGTGGGATGGATGAATATCCGTCCATATGCCGCTGATACACGGCAGGTGTCTGGCATCTGGCAGGTGAGTAATAACCAACAAAGTAGGCTTGTCCATTTTCTCCCCTAGTGTGTCCTGCTTTCCAGTGCCCATGGAGGAGACAAACTTTATGTCCTGTCCCTCTTCCCTGTTAGTCCTTGGCTGACTTCTGAGCCCACTAGAGTGGCTACCTAGCCGGGGATTTAGCTCAGTGGTTCCACCTCCTGCCTCAAAGGCACAAGGTACTGAGTTTGATCCCCAGTACAACAAAACAAAAACAAACACAAACCACTAGGGTGGCTACCAGGAGTCTATCTTTGCAAATTGATGTGCTGTTTTTGTGTTTAATTTGGGGGGGGGGTGCTGGGGATCAAACTTGGATCCTTGCACTTCCGAGGCAGGCGGCGGAACAACTGAGCTAAATCCCCAGCCCCAGATGTCCTGGTTTTATAATTTCAAATTTTTCCTAGAAAGTTTTCTTTCTAGAGCCTTATTTATCCCCACTCATATTTATTCAATTTTAAGTCTGTTTAAAATGTGTGCATTGTGTGAGGTACCAGGGAGGAATGCAGAAAGCAGTAGCGCTTTGTCTACCTTCAGGGAGCGTCTGTTTCAGTGGCATTGTGTGATGATACTTGTGGTTCAGTAGGGTTATTTTAGGCATTTGCAAAATTTTCTGGTATCCTTTTACAGACCAAACAACAAACTCTAAGGAGTATATCTTTTTTTTTTTTCCTCATTGAGTGTATTGGCACATTTCAGGTATACAGTACAGTTACATTCATCATTGGGATCTTGTACCTTTACATGCTAGGTCTCAGTTCTCATTTTTTCCCCTTACCCCTGCCCTCCCTTCACCCCCTCTTCCCCTCTAAGGAGTATATCTTTTTTTTTTTTTTTCCTCATTGAGTGTATTGGCACATTTCAGGTATACAGTACAGTTACATTCATCATTGGGATCTTGTACCTTTACATGCTAGGTCTCAGTTCTCATTTTTTCCCCTTGTCCCTGCCCTCCCTTCACCCCCTCTTCCACTCTAAGGAGTATATCTTGGTCTTAAGCTAAGCTGGAATAGATGCAGTGGGTGGGCGGCCCTGGGCTCTCTGCCTGCCAAGCTTTGTACCCAGCTTTCTGAACCAAGCTTATGCCAGGCTGGAATCACTGGCTTATCTCACTGGTGGAGGCTCAGAGAAGTAGTTTCCCTGAGCAGAAAGGGGATCTGAATTTGTCTTTGTGCTGTAGCAGGGAGCCCGGGGGGATCCCCAGAATGTATGACACCTCAGCCAACAGTGGATGACTATCCGTAGTCTCCCCTAGAACTGTGTGCATGTCCTTGTGGCTCTTTCCACATTCTCCCTTGGATGACAACGACTCGTTTCCTTGTCCACATCTCTCATCCTGACTGAATCAGAGCTTCCTGTTGCAGTCACCTCACATTTCTACACCC